AGTAATGTCGGACTAGTGTACGGGCACGTGGTTTGAAGAGTTTCATGCTATGCCCACGAAGGTTATCCATACTAGCGCGCATGAAGAAGTCATCGACCCTGCCAGACTTGAAGAGACTGTACAGTAGGAATATGTCACTTCTTATCCGGTGGGTTTCTAGGGGGTACAGATGCAAGATGGAAAGGCGTGTGGGGTAAGGGGTGGATGACAAGCCATGCACACGTTTTGTTGCTCTCCTTCGTACACGCCCGAGGGCCGTACAGTCGCTCACCAAGCGGGTTGAATATACGTGCTATAGAGAATCTGGAAGTCTCCTCTGTATATTCTGGGAAATGAGCGTTTTAGGAAGTTAGGAACACGGAAGACAGATCTACAGTCTTTCAGTTGATGGTAGAAGAATCAGAGTGACCTGGTCAGCCAGAAACCAAGAACCCTTTGGTATTCTACACTCTCCACGGTCGTAGAAGCGCTAGCCCTGAAACTGTGTATAGAGACCCTCCCAAAAGACATACTGACGCATTTCTCGTCGTTTATTGGAAGATTACAGATCGTAGACCAGTCTTTGACTGCATCCATTGCTGACTGAACAGCCACAGGGTCGGTGCCCAAAGTCAATGAAAATTGTTTGAGGAATCAGGCCGTCATCATGGGTTTGAGTTAGACTCTCCATGACAGATAGCATACTAGGGATGAACGATCTGCTGGGAAGGAAGCCGTTTTGGGTTTGGAAAAGAAGTTGAGTGTCTGGCAATTGTTTTTATATTACTTTCTCTGAATTCCGGTCGACTTCTCTGAGCACGATAGTCAAGCTGATGAATCTATGAATACTAGTTGTGTGCATAACCCCTTTTTTAAGTTGGGGAATATGATGCCTCTCTTTCAGAATGAAAGAAATTTTCCGCCATCTAACACTTTTGGAAGAGGGTGAAATAGTACGGGGCAAGAACCGAGGCGGCTTCTGTTAACACTCAACGGTCTATACCATCAGTTCCTATTGAGCTAAAGGGATTCTGTGATTTGAGGTAGGATTCGATCTCCCCTGGAATAA